TAATTTTATCTGATATGTATACTTTATTATTTTTCCCTTCTTCTACATTAGGTATACTCATAAATGTCTCAAAATCAGCCAAACCTAAATAGTAATCTTTTCCATCGTCTAAATAAATAGGTGGATTAAAATCGGCTGATAATATTGAGGAATTCCCTGTAATCGCAATAGTGGTAGACATTTTACTAACATGTTTTTCAAACCTAGTATGTTTTTATATCTTATTGAATAGAAATTCGAGTGAGAGTTGTCCACAATTGTCTGTATTAAATTTCTGTTTTGTTTCATAAGTATAAAATATGTTCACTTTTTCATTTGAATTAAAATATTTGAGCAATTCAAGAGGTGGTTTTAGATTTCCGTAACTATCAAAATATATTACATAACTTTTATTCTTCTTGTAAGCTGTCCAATGGGAGCCTTTGTGCTCTTTACTATCCAAATTGACAATACCGCTCTCATTTATTTTAATTTTTTTAGGTAAGTTATTACGCATAAAAATACCTCTAAAATTTGGTATTTCTTTCGTATATTTTAGCAAATCGATATTTGTCAACGCTTTTTTTGGGAACCGGATTTTTTTTTATTGTCTTCTTTTTAATTGAACCTCCTTTATACGGTTTAATGTACAATCCTTTCCCCCTGTATGGTTTAATAAATAAGCCTTTTCCCTGTGTCTCCATTGCTATATCATGTCGACGCATTTCTTCTAATTGTTCTTTAGATGCTTTTGCATCATTTACTGCTTTGGCAATCCCCGCAGCACCTCCGCCAAGTGCACCTAATGCTCCGAGTATTGGTAACAAAAGAGGTAAAAACCCTCCAATTTTTTTGGGACTTTCAATAATACGTTTTTTCTTTAATTTAACTGTTTTTCCTTTTTTTGTTTTTATACCCATTCCAAGCTTTCTTTTACCCTTCATAAGGCCTGTTATTAGCAATGCAGCACTTTTTTCTCCAATAGAGGAATCTTTCGCCTTTACCCGTTCCCACGCCTTATCTGCTAATATTTTATCCGCGTCGTGTCTTCTTAACAAATCGGAAGACTGAGAGTATGCTATATCGTGCTCCTTACAAGCATCATCTAAGGCGTTTATGCCAACGTCTCCCCTATTTGTCCTTTTTTCTAAGTGCGTTCCTGGTCCACAAAAATTATATCCTGGTATATGTAGTTCAACAGGGAGCTTATTAATAAATGTGTTTACTAATCCGTAACCTTTGCGCTTCCTTCCTATATGAGGTACAAGCATTGCAAAACTGAGAAAAAATAATCAAGTAATCCCTATAAATACTTTAACAAAGTTTTGTTAGTAACACTTCAACATGAGAATTGAAAAACAAACGTTCTCCCTACCAATAAAAAACCATGATATTTCTAATAAACATGGTAATTTATTTTCTGGTAGTTCGAAAAGATGACTTCTAGTAGGAGCATCAGGAAGCGGAAAAACGAGTTGTATTCTCACATTACTTGAACACCCAAATGGAATTAGATTTGAAAATGTATACATATATTCAAAATCCTTACATCAACCAAAATACGAGTACTTAAGGTCCCTATTACAACCTATAAAAGAAATTGGTTCTTATGAATATGATAAAGAAGAAAGTATCGTATCTCCTCACAATATTAAACCAAATTCTGTAATAATATTTGATAATATTCCATGTCAAAATCAAAATATTATTAGAGATTATTTCACTTTTGGAAGACATAAAAATACGGATTGTTTTTCATATTCCAAGGATACTCATCAATTCTGAAAAGACTTATACGAGAAAATGCAAACTTGTTAATTTTATTTAAACAAGATTACATGAGTTTGAAACATATTTATAATGACCATTGTATGATGGATATGACATTTGATCAACTTTGTGCACATTGTTGGAAAGAAGAGTATGGATTTGTTGTAATTGATAAAGATTGTGAATTAAATTCTGGCAGATATAGACAAAAATTCGATTCGTTTATATACTTATAAAAATGAAAAAAATCATACAGTCTCTCTCATATGTCTGTCATGGATAAACGTTTGGCAAGAGAACTTATTAAATCGAGAAAAGCAGTTAGAGAAAAATATCATATTCTAAAGTCGGAGGCAGCTTCTACACAGTCACAACTGGAAAAGACATATCAACCAATCACTCAACCATTACAACAACTAATTTCTACTATTGCTAAAACTGAACCTGTCGAGATAAAAGAAGAAGAAAAAACGTATTATACGTCTTCCACTCCAAAAAAAGAGAAAATTAGAACAGGGAGTACACCTATTTTACCTACCGAATTGCCATCTTTTTTTAACACTAGTAGTATTAGTCAGTTTCCATCTGTTCAAGAGACCAGTGTTTTAGCTGAAACACCGAATGAAAGCACGTTAGAAAATCTAAATTTATCTGATATTTTGGAACAAACTAAAGAAACAATTCTTCAATATGTTGACACTCCAGGTTATCAAGAATGGTTAGAAGATTTTCATGAATTACCACGATCATACATTGATGAACGTGTGAAGGACACCAAATTTAAGTTTAATCATAATTATGGAATAATTCGTGATCTCGAAAGAGAAATTTTTTTTTTGGGTCTAACGCAAAAGCCTGTAGAAATAATTGGTAAAGATATTAATGTGGAAGGTATAACATATCCCGGAACGATCGGCTTATATGAGTTACTTTTTAAAAAAGAACCTATCGGTTACAAAAAGGAAGATTTAGAAAATTATATGGATATCTTGAAAAGAACTAATGCATATCGTAGAAATTTTGATCCAAACGAACAAGTTCAAGGAAATGGATCACATAAATATGTAACAATAATTGGACCTTACTTGCAACAAAAAGGAATTACAAAAGCTAAAACAATTACTTCACTGGAAAGATTGACTAAAGCCTTTCCTAAACCAAAAGCTCCATTTAGAGCAACCAGAGCAACAGCTGCTATTCAGAAAGGAAAAGGGCTTACTTTAAAAATGTACAAATCTAACACAGACTATGTATACTGGGATAACATCAATGAATTGGTTAATAGATTGCGACTATTAATAGGGTCTGTTAGTGCAGGTCATACTGGTCATAATAATGAAATAATTTCTATTATTGAAGAATTACGAGAATCTCAAATAATACTATAAATATCGTATTTAATAAAGTGAAACTATCAGTTGCATGTTAACCATGACGGTAAATAAATTTGGAACCCATATACTCAAAGAAACTAACATGTCATATTTTTGTATACTACCAATGATTCTTAGTACTACAACAAAAAATATTAAATTACCTAATGGTGAAAAAAGATACTATTATGAAATTAATGGTGATAATAAAACTTTCCCCTTTCCATTACCAGAGTTGAAAGTCACTAGGGTAGACTGTAATATGAGTGTAGAATTTCTTATAAAGAACAAACTATTTAGTTCAACTGATCTAATTGGACAAACACTTGTTAGTGGTGACAACATTTCCATCATAAAACCAAAGGGTAAACCGTCAACTATTCGTAGTATATGTTTAGGATTGCTGTTAAAGTCACAGATTCAAAATGAGTAACATTAAGGATGAAGTTGTTAACGAATTACATAAGACAGCTAGAAGAAAATTTAAAAGAAGACGAGTTATTGTAAAAGGGCTTAATGATTTGTAGCAAGCGGACTTGGTTGAAATGCAACCTTATGCTAAATTTAACAAAGGGTTTAGATATATTCTGGTGGTTATAAATGTATTTTCAAAGTATGTCTGGACTCAACCAGTTAAATCAAAAACTGGCAAGGATGTCGCGACAGCAATGGAAAAAATTCTAATCAATGCGAAAACCCCTCCGAAAAATCTACAAACAGATAAGGGAAAAGAATTTTTTAACGAAAAGTTTCAAACACTTATGCAGCAGTATAATATTAACCACTATAGCACGTTTTCGAATTTAAAAGCTTCTATCGTAGAGAGAGTAAACAGGACATTAAAAAATAAAATGTGGAAAAAATTTAGTATGCAAGGAAATTACAAGTGGATACATATATTACAACCAATTGTTAATGAATACAACAATACTATTCATTCTGTAACAGGGTTCAAACCCAATGAAATATCCAAGAATAATGAAAAACTCATTTTAAGTAATGTTTATCGTCAAATGAAAGTAGTTGATCCACGTAGGCGAAAATTTAACGATGGTGATTTTGTTAGAATAAGTAAATATAGAGAGTTATTTTCCAAAGGATATACACCTAACTGGTCAAACGAAATATTTGTTATAAAAAAGGTTAATATGACTAATCCTGTAACCTATCAATTAACCTTAATCAAAGAAAAGAAGAAATTCAAGGCGGTTTTTATGAAGAAGAGTTGCAGAAAGTTAAACATCCTGACGTTTATCTGATTGAAAAAATATTAAGGCGAAAAGGAAATAAAGTTTATGTAAAATGGTTAGGGCTTGACAATACTCATAATTCTTGGATTTTAAAAAATGAATTGTTGTAATTTTTTAAATAAATAATGGATCTAAGTAACTTTGTTTTTTTATTATAAATTATATCTTAAAATATGTTGTTATTGAACATTGCATGTTGTGTACAATTAAGAATAAAATTTTATCATAATTAAAACATCAACAACAAACGACTTTTCATTCAAGTAGTTTTTTCTTTCTGGTCTTCACACGCTTAATAATCAAGACATGCACCTAATTAAAGATAATTATATTCTATAATTTTAAAGGAGATTCAGTTTTTTATAAAATTAAATATTTGGGTTTTAAAAATAGTTCTAGGATTATATGAAATAAAATATATAATAAAATTTACAAATTAGCGAAAATTAGTATTCATAAAATAAATAGACTTTGTTTGAATTTGTACCCCTTTAGTAGCTTGCATTAGTAATTAACCTGCATCTCTTTATAGATACATATGTTGTAACGGTTTCTAACACCCCTCATTATTTATAAACCCATGCAAAACGTATTTTGCATTATTATTGTGTAAGAGTTTGTTCGAGTTATGGGGAAACCTGAAATACAAATTTTAAAGCGTAAAGTTATGGAAAATATTAATATAATACAACAAGTAATTGTAACGAAGAACGGTGTGCAAATAATGGATTACGACCAAAAATACGATGACATTTCACCAGTGGATTCACCAAGTCAAGTTGAATCAAACATACAATATGATGAAGAATTTTTAAATGAGTTAATAAATTCTTTAAATCAAATAGAAAGTGAAAGTGTAAACCAAGTGCAACCGGATTTACATCATTGTCAAGATTTGGATATGTTAGAAATGCCTACGGAAAGAGCTGTGCAAGAAATTCAACCGGATTTACGACAATGTCAAGATTTGGATATGTTAGAAATGCCTACGGAAAGTGATGTGCAAGAAATTCAACCGGATTTACGACAATGTCAAGATTTGGATATGTTAGAAATGTGTACGGAAAGTGCTGTGCAAGAAATTCAACCGGATTTACGACATTCTCAAGATTTGGATATGTTAGAAATGCCTAATGAAAGTGATGTGCAAGAAATTCAACCGGATTTACGACAATGTCAAGATTTGGATATGTTAGAAATGTGTACGGAAAGTGCTGTGCAAGAAATTCAACCGGATTTACGACATTCTCAAGATTTGGATATGTTAGAAATGCCTAATGAAAGTGATGTGCAAGAAATTCAACCGGATTTACGGATTGTATTCTCAAGATTTGTCACAAAGTGTTATATTAGAAAATAATAAACATAATGTGAAACAACTTTTTATAAAACGTGACCTTGAAATTGCTGAAATAAAACAAAAAACGGAATTAATAACTAAAAAACTTAATACATATTTGGAATTAATTACTAAATGCAAACACTGTTTAGCTATTTTAAAACAACGTGAAACTATTACACTTAATAATTGAGGAGCGATCAAACAAAACGCAATAAATCCATTCTTGATATTTTTCTACTTTTTCATTGTGTATTTATAAAAGCCATGCGATAAATCCATCGGTGGCATCAGAATCGTTCTAATCGCAATAAATCTTATTGAAATTAAACCCTAAAAGTTATGAATTCAATCAAAACGTAATAAATCCAAAGTATCTTGAAAAATATTCATAATTCATTCAAAGTGTAATAAATCCCAAAGTCGGTAATACAGGTAAATAAATTCAAAAATTGGCTTCGTTTATACAAGGTTTGTTAGATGGCGCTATAGTACATGCGCTATAGTATATGGTTTAGAATTCGTCGACTTGTTCTGTTCACATTCTGTGGTTCACATGCTGTTCACATCAGTCTCTGCTTCAGTGCGTGATCTGTGTTCAGTGTTGTGTTTTGCTTTGGACAAGTAGTTGTGTAAACAGGATTTTAAAAAGTAATTGTGTTGTGATACGTGAAAATAAAGTTAAGTTAAAACTAACATGTTCGAAACAGATGCAAGTGAAGGTGTTCTCGTTAAAGAAAAGGGCCGTAGAATAAATAAACTGAAGATCGTCAAAAAAAATAGCAGGTTAGTTTAGGTCATTTTTATACGGGCATATTGTAATGTTGGTTTGTTATTATTGTTGCTGCATGCGCTTTTGTGGGAGGAATAATCCGCGCTGTATCTTTATATAGGGATATTTAGTGACTTGTATTGATTGTACATGTACAGGATGTTCTTAAATATCGGTGAAAGTAGCTTGCTTTTTAAGTTATTGTTTTTTTTTCAGATATGACGATCCGGACCCGAATCTTGAAGATTTTAAACGTCCTTGTAAGCATAACGGACCTAGTTACTATTGTAGTTTAGTGACGTCACGTGACATAAAGTATAATAAACAAAATATTTACAAAACAACAAACAAAAGTGAACAAGAGATAAAATTGTGTCATTTAATTTCTGCTTGCAATGTCCAAAGAAAACGTTCGACCAAAGCAATGCCAAAAAAACGCCTTATTAGTGTAATATATCATCTTAAAAGTCCGGCTACTAAAAAAATGGTTAGGGTCTGTCAAAAGTTTTTCATGCAGTCCTTCAACTTAACAATCAGAAGAATCAACCGTGTTCCAAATATAATTCATGATGGAGGTGTACCTAAAGAAAAAAGAGGTGGAGACAAAAAGTCAGTGAAATCGTCAAACAAAAAAGAAAGCATTAGGAACTTCATAGGCAACCTTAGGGGAAAAGAAAGTCATTATAATAGAGCAAAATCACAGAGAATATACCTAGGTGCTGATCTAAGCATTCGTAAGCTACATAAATTGTATAACTTGAAGTCTGGCGAAGCATTTAAATCAAGTTTGTCCATGTTTTCGAGAATCTTTAGGAAAGAATTTAATATAGGATTTTCTTCGCCTGCTTCTGACTGCTGTGGAACGTGTATGCGATTAAAGTATCAAATTAAGTTAGAAAAAGATAAAGCTAAAAAAAACCTTTTATGTTGCAACTTGGAATGCATAAAAGGAGAGCAAAAGCCTTTTATGAATGATGTAAAGAAAATCCTGATTCTTCAAAGACATTTTGCTTTGATCTGCAGCAAGTGCAGCCTCTCCCACGAACTCCCATATCAGATGCATTCTATTCGCATCAAATTAGCTATTATATATTTTGCTGCGTAGATATGCAGTCAAAACATCCAGTATTTTATACATGGTCTGAAAACTTAGCGGGAAGAGGCTCTATTGAAGTAGGTTCGGCCCTTTTAAATTACCTAGATTCCTTAGATTTGCAAGGGATAAAAACACTAATACATACCCTTTATTATTGGCTAAAACTTAGAGCCCCTGATGACCTGGAAGAAGTAAGAATTACATATCCTGTTCGTGGTCATAGCTTTCTGCCCGCCGATAGGGTATTTGGAAGGATTGAGAAATGTTTAAAAAAAGAAGCAGTTATTAAAACCAAAGAAGAGTATAAGGAGTTGTATGCAAAATTTGGCGTGGTTAAAGAACTTGGTGCGGACTGGAATTTGTTTGATGTAAAGACATTGGTGAAGACCTTGAAAAAAATTGACGGCATTTCTGATTTAAAAAGAATTTACATACAAAAAAATAATATTAAAAAAACAATAAAAGTGGCTTGCTATCAAAATTTTAGATATGAATATCTTACTGAAATTCCAAAGTCTATAATAAAACGAGGAAAATCAGACAATAACCTTCAGCTAGAAGTAATACCCCTCAAGAATTCGATCCCAGAAAAAAAGAAACCTTCTCTTAAGCATTTGCTGCAGGAACAGTTTGGGGCAGATTGGATGGAGGATCCAAGTCTATACTGGTACAAAAATATTTTGTTTACTGAAAATTCAGTCGTGAACCAGGAAGAAGAAGAAGGCGAGCAGGAATGCGACTGTTTGGAACCTGATCATGGAGCTCACATATAATTTTTTATTAATTCTTTATTTACGTATCATATAATTACAATATTATAGTTCTTAGTACGTATTAGTAATATTTTCTTGTAGTTTGTAACAAATATCAATATTTTGTAAAAATGTTATTCCTAATAAAAAATTTAAAAACCCTGCTGTTAATCAAACAATCCGTAATAAATCTATTTGAATCAATCAAAACGTAATAAATCCATTATTTTTTCATATATAGCTCGTTGTATATAAACAAAAAAAATATCAAATTATCAGTTTATAAATGTCCCTTCTGACCTACATGAAATAACACAAATCCGTTTCATTCAATATTTCAGACATTACTAAAAAAACATTTTCGTGATTTACTCAAAACTGTTAAAATTGGATTTATTGCGTTTTGTTTGATCGCTCCTCAATTATAATCTATTATCCCAACAAGATAAATTATTTGAAATATTAGAAATCTAAAAAATGTATGTATTAGAATGTAAAAGTGTTCATCAAAATATATTTTGCTATTATAATTTTGTTTAATCATATTAATATTTTCCATAACTTTACGCTTTAAAATTTGTATTTTAGGTTGTCTCATATAACCCCCTTGTATTTTTTAATAAACAAATACCTAATCCTACGTTTTGTTTTAATTGTAATTAAATATAAACTAACTTCTTATGCCAAAAATTATTTAACAACATTAAATATTTCATATGTACTTTCTGTAAGTTTTTGATCTTTTGTATTTTAGGTTTCCCAATATAATTCCTCTTTTTAAATAAACAAATCTTATTCCCATATAATCGTCTTGTATTTTTTTTAATAAACAAATATTTAATACTATGTTTTGTTTTAATTGAAATTAAATATGACTAAAAATAATTCTTTTTTAACCGTAATTACTTATAAACTAACTTCTTATATATATTTCATATGTAGATTCTGTAAGTTTTTGATCTTTTGTATTTTAGGTTTTCCCAATAATCGTCTTGTATTTTTTAATAAACAAATACCTAATCCTATGTTTATTTTAATTGTAATTAATTATAAACTAACTTCTTATGTCAAAAATTATTTAACAACATTAACTATTTCATATGTAGTTTCTGTAAGTTTTTGATCTTTTGTATTTTAGGTTTTCCAATATAATCCTCTTTTTAAATAAAGAAATCTTATTCCCATATAATCGTCTTGTATTTTTTTTTTTAATAAACAGATACCTAATTCTATGTTTTGTTTTAATTGTAATTAATTATAAACTAACTTCTTATATATATTTCATATGTATTTTCTGTAAGTTTATGATCTTTTGTATTTTATGTTTTCCCAATAATCCTCTTGTATTTTTTTAAATAAACAAATATTATGATTTAGATAAAACTAATCCTTTTTTTAACCGTATTTACTTATAAATTATTTTTTATGCAAATTAAACATTAGTGAAAATACATTAAGAGTATTTTGGTATGATAAGTAATATTTAACTAGTTTGAGAAAAATTAATTTTTAGTGGGAGAAAACAAATCAATTTTATATTTTTTAATTCACATAGTGTCTTATTTCTTTCATTGGTTTCTACCGATGAGAATAATTCTAATTTATGCAGCATGGTACTATGTTTTGTTAGAAATTTTATTGCCTAGATTATATATATATAATAAATATAAAAAACATAAATTTGTCTGGGAGAACTAAGTAAACGATTTCGAACCCTCATAACAATAATGAATATTTATGGTGCACAAACAGATGATTTCAATTAAAAAAACCGCTAAAATATCGTGAAACACTACTGAATATTTATGATACACAAACAGACGGGTTGATGACTAATATAAGCTACTAAAGGAATGCATCGTTCACCATGAGAGAGCGGGATATAAGGGTAGGAGGATAGTGGTCAAGGGATTTTGCAACCAGAGAATGAGGGGGATTTTGTACAAGAAATTTAAAATATTACGAGGTAGCTTGAAACGTGATTGAAAAAATGATCCATCCTATTTTTTATTAATTTTGTTGTTTATTTTACAACTCCCAATTTGTTATACAAATTGATTACAAAAATAGCATTTCTCTTGTGCACTGGTTGGTCCATCAAAATGGGTTCTCCATTCCGGACGATTGTAATGTAACGAAACATGGTAATTTAATCTGCAGATAAAAGTGATCTTTATAATCCATTGGTAATTTCCCCCATATATTTAAAAGTTCGATAGGATTTGCATTCTTTATTAAATACATTTTTTACCATTAATATGTGCTAACAAAATATTTGCACTCGCACAACTCATTTTAAAATACTGGTGATCTTTTTGAATTATGGTGGATTTTTGTTTTACGGAGATTGTAAGTACTGAAACCACCAAACTTCTTTGATGCTTTTGTAGGTAGTGAATAA